GAGATGCGCAAACGCAGGAGGATAAAACACTCTATAGTTCATTTATGGCGAGTTTCGATTAGCGAGGTGTAGAGATTTCATTACCTTGAGATACCTCGGATGGATACTCTGTGATATTCCCAAATGTTGCCAGCGGAGGTGTGCGTCTAGGGTTCTACTGCTCCTTGGAAAGATTTGGCTGCCGATTTGAGTCACACTAAAGGATGTGCGCGATCACCTTTTGTTAATATTCGATAGCGATCATATTATTATTAGCGTTAGAATAAATTAATTAAGAGTATGGAGATGTTCACGGAATACACACTCTAATAAGATTAATTGAATGTATATTTAATAATGATTCTTACACTAATTAAACTTTTAATAACTAATTTTACACAAGGACAGCTTTACTTCTAAGTTAACATAAGGTTTATCTCTTATAATTAGGACTTATAATTTAGAAATTGGTTTGACGTTTTGAATTAAGACCGAGATTGAAATTCCTAGAAATTGTAATTGCGAGGATACCACGTTCGGCCTAGTATTACGTTCGCACACGTTATTTTTAGTAAGTTAGCGTGGAAGAAGATTTCCGCACGTCTACTCTCTTTTCTAGCTTTTGCCCCGTGGGCGTTCCTAAAACCCTTTCTATAATAGTATTGCTAGTTCGCTCGTGATGGGAGAGATATCAGGTGGGGCTAAACGGTTGTGGCGTTGCGAGCGTTAGTCGCGGCGTTGCGAGCGTTGGTCGCGGCGCTGCGAACGTTAGCTGCGGCGCTGCGAGCGCCAATGGCGGCGCTGCATGCGTCCGTCGCGGCGCTGATGCGGTCATTCTTTCCGCTTCATCTTCCGCTTCGCTCTCTGGTGTCATGACGTGTCGCGTGCGAACCTCGTGTAAGTCTGCGATAGTCAGTAAGTTAGAACTCAGAAGTTGAGGTTCCGAATTACTTTGTGTATTCCGCAAGACCGATACCGATCACTGTTCATGTCTGTGATAGTTGTTAGCGTCGTCAGATAATTACTTAGAGTGTATTTTCATAGTTCTTGTATTGTAACTCCGCGACACAATGCCGGTATCCGAGCCATCTTACACGCGCAATCACGTTTCTATTTTCTAATCTATATTTGTATTTAGTATTTAGTTATTTTAATATCAAGTTTGTATTAAATCGCCTTATGGCATAAAAATCAGAAGCAGTGAGTAGCACTCATTCTCAACCTATTCTAACAATTTCTCGCCAATTGTCCTTCGCCTTTGGTTGGTAACAGCCACACGATTGTGGCTATTGGAGCAACTGCTGTGCAATATGGCGCCGATGGTTACCAACCAAAGGCGAAGGACAATTGGCGAAGGAAATCATTAGGTTGAGAATGAGTGCTATTCACTGCTCGCAGCGCCGCAGCTAACGTTCGCAGCGCCGTGACCAACGCTCGCAGCGCCGCGACTAACACTCGCAACGCCACAGTACTCCCCTCCCAGTGTAAACGTTAAAGAAAGAAATACTGGTTAAAAAATATCGCTAGAACGAGAATAACAAAAAAAAATAAAAATAAATGAAACAAACAGAACTTATACATATTGGTTTGCTTAACGTAACATTGCGCGAATTAATTCTTAAAACTAATAGTCTTTCGCTTTGTTGCTGGACTAGAATATGTTTTTGATTCACCTTGCACTGAAATGTCAGTTGAAGACGAAGATGCAGTGGACGGAGTAGTTCCTGTGTCTTGGATTAGTACGTACGCGGGCTTAAGGCTGTCGACCGTGACATTGCTGGATTTGCCGTCGATTTCAATGGCGAAGACTTTGTCCGAGATGCGCTCTAGTACTTTATGCGATCCAGTATATGGTTGATCCAGAGGACATCTATTGCCTTCAACTTTACAGAAAACGTGAGAGCAATTATACAAATCTTTGTGGAAAAATAGCTTAGGTCTAATGTGATGAGAAGTTGATCTAGGCCGCAACTTTTGCATAATTACGCGGAAATCCTCGACGAAAATTCGTGGGTCGCTCGGCATTTCTTCAGAGGAGAAAAATTCACCTGGTACCTTGAGCGTAGTGCCGTACACTAATTCCGCTTAAATCGAAGCCTAGATCTTCTTTGAAACAAGTTCTCAGTCCTAGTAATACTACTGGCAGTGTATCAGTCCATTGAGTTTCACCGTGACACATTAATGCTGTTTTTAGAGAGCGATGCTATCATTCGATGATGCCATTAGACTCCGGGTAGTATGCAGTTGTCCGACAACATTTAGAGCCAATGAGTTTGGTTAATGTGAACAGCTGCGCTTCGAATTGCGAGCCTTGATCGGTCGTGATCAAGCGTGGAGCTCCGAATCTGGCTACCCAGTGAATGAAAAACATCTTCGCCACCGTGTTTGCTGTACAATCCTGTAATGGAATAGCCTCCAACGAGTAAATCAGTCAATCATCATTGTTAATAAATACCTGAAACTTTTGGATGGAGGTAGAGGACCGACATGTATCGATATGTACATGTTCGAAACGAGTATCTGGTACTGTAGTGGTATTTTAGTAGGTGGAGTGTAGTTATGACAGTGAATTTTAGATTGTTGGCATGCTAGACAAGTGCGGGCCCATTCTTTAATGTCCTTAGACATGGAAGGCCACACAAATTTTTGCGCAATTTGCCGGTGAGTTGCTCTGCCGCTTGGATGCGACATTTGATGCGACATTTGATGTCGAAAATTCGCCTTCGTAGTGGTCCAGGAATGAAAGGTCTGATCTCTTCTTCTGAAGTGTCACAGTAAATATTGGATGCTGTTTCCGATAAGGTAAACTTTTTGAGCTTCAAAGACGTTGATGTGGATTACTTCAGTTGCTGCAACTCATCATCTGAGGCTTGAGCTTCTGCAATCTCCTGCATATCGAGACTAATTAGCATCACGATAGTATCGGCGCGAGATAATGCATCTGCTACAATGTTATCGGCGCCTGAAACGTGACGTACATCGGTTGTGAACTCCGAAATGAAGAGTAGATGACGAGTTTGTCTTAGCGACATTTGTTCTGACTTCTTCTTGAATGCATAAATGAGGGATTTATGATGAAAATTTCGTCCCTCTAACATATATCGAAAATGTTTGATAGCCGCATAGATAGCTAATAGTTCTTTATCATATGCACTATACTTTGTTTGTGTAGGCGTGAGTTTCCTTGAAAAAAAGCTGAGTGATTGTAGAAATCCATTGCTGTACTGTTGCAATACCGCGCCGATTGCTTTGTCTGAGGCGTCTGTTTGCAACGAGAGTGTTGCATTGCTGTCTGGAAATGCGAACGAGGCTTGAGCGAGATGTTCGTTGAAAGGATTGTTTGAGCTCAGAAGTCCACTCGATTTTCGCATTGTTGTTGCGTTTGCGCCCAGAAATTACCTTTAGCAATAATGCCTGTATGCTTGCGATATCCTTTAGAAATCGGTTGTAAAAATTGAGCACAGAAATCGTCGAAGTCCTTTTTTAGTAGCTGGTTCCTGGAAATCGATAATTGCTTGGACCTTTTCGAACAAAGGCTTGATGCCTTCGGATCACATGTCCAAGGAAATTGACGCTCTGGGTTGATCGCAATTCCATGCTGTTGCCTACCGAACAGAATCTTTAAGTGCTCTTTGTGCTGGGTTTCGTCCTGCGAAGCGATTAGAATATCATCAATGTAAGTGAAACAGAAATCGAGTTCTACGGTTATCCGGTCCATGAATCGTTGAAAAGTTTGAGCTGCGTTATGAAGTCCAAAAGTCATGTATGGAAATTCGAAAAGCCCGAATGTGTGATGATGGCGGTTTGTGTGATGATTTTTTCGGAATATCTGATTCGTGGACTGGAATCTGCTGATATGCGCGTACTAAATCGATCGTGGAAAATACGGTTTTACCGTGTAGGAAATGTGTGCTGTCTTGTAGAAATGGAATTGAGTAACGGTCCGGAACGGTTACCTCATTGAACTTGCGGTAATCCCCACACGGACGCCAGTCGCTGTTCTTCTTCTGAACCAGGTGCAGTGGGCTGGCCCAAGGGCTCTTGGAAGGCCTGCATAAACCCTGTTGCATCATATATTCGAATTCTTGCTTGGCTGCTTTAAATTTCTTCGGACAGAGTCGTCTGGCTTTGTTTGACACCGGGAGACCCGTTATCTCGATAACATGTTCTACCCCATGTGCGGCTTGTTTATGCGTAATCGATGCTCGGATTATCTCTGGGAACTCATTTAACATTTCTTTGAAAGGGCAATCGTCGGCAAAGCTGTCAACTTTGGAACGGTTCTACAAACAAGCTGTGCATTGACCTTAAGGAACGTGTCGCCATCAATCAGCCGCTTGTGCCGGATGTCAGGTAGCAGATTATAACGCGCCAGAAAATCCGAGCCAATTATGAATGTGTCCACTTCGGCGATAATGAAGGGCCATTGGAAACCCCTGCGGAATCCCAAATCGAGCCGCAGTAATTTCTGTCCATATGTAGGGATGATCGTTCCGTTTGCTGCGTAGAGCATCTGTTTTCCAATATGCTCAAGGTCGCGTCTTGAGGCAGGTATGGTCGAGACATCCGCTCCAGTATCCACTAGGAATCTGATGCCGGTGACGCGGTCCCAGACTATCAAACGGCGATTTCGCCACTGCCGAACCATCTGCCGTCGGGGGTAGTTCGACTTCTAGTTTTCTTGTTCCGTTGATGCTTTCGGCTTCCAGCTGCAGGGTTCCGTACACTTGACTGCGTTACCGTCGAAACGTCGATGATACCAGCACGGCTTGTTCTTAGATTGTGACCTTGAACGGCTTCTGTGACGAGAATTTCGCGAGGCCCGTGATCTGTCGCGCGATAAATGAGCTACCAATTTATCTACCCGATCTATAAGCGCGGATATTTGCGGATCTACCGAATTAGCTTTCGTCGGCGCAACCATTGCGATGGGTACAAATATTGTGTGATCATTGATAGATTTTCGCGTTGGCCAGTAGCAATACCTCTAAAAAGACATCGAAGCCATTACAGTGGCACGCATGTTTTACGACAACTGGGTAGCAAACTTTGGAGCACCTAAAACGTTAACTACGGATCAAGGTAGCCAGTTCGAAGCACAACTTTTCACTGCGCTTCTTCAGCTGATCGACTGTCAACGGATTTGTATCACGGCGTATCACCCCGTCTCGAACGGTATGATCGAACGGTGACATAGAAGCTTAAAAGCTGCAATAATGTATCATGCTAATGAAGGTTAGTCACGAGTACTTTCGACCGTACTGTTAGGTCTGCGTACTCATGTCCGTCTTGACACTGGCGCATCGCCTGCGGAATTCGTTTACGGAACGACACTGCGCGTCCTCGGAGAATTTGTACTGCCGGACGACTTTACTCCTAATCCTCAAATGTTCATCGAGGAATTCCGCGAACATATGCGCAAAGTTAAGTCAATCTCGATAGAACATAAGCATAAGAAACACGCATTTGTGTTCAAAGATTTATACTCATGTTCCCATGTGTTTCTATGGGTGGGCGGTATCAAGAGAGCGTTAGAGAGTCTCTACACCGGCCCTCACAAAATCGTAAATCGTGTGGCCGATCGAGTATTCGACATTGACATTAACGGTACACAGCGCAGGGTATCGGTCGAAAATTTAAAACCAGCGTATAGCATACGCGATGACTTATGTAGTGCAACCCCAGAAGCAGGGCAATCAACCAATTCGTTCAGCAACGAACAACCAGCTTTAAAAACGTACGCGCGTCCAAAGAAAAAAGTCATCTTCGCCATATAAGTATAATAAATCCTCCCAACGACAAAATGTAATTAGCTTAAGACAGACACCAAAGACACGCAATGATATGTTTTATATAATATATTTTATATGATACCTTTTATATGTTTAATATGGTAGACCTAAGTGCCGGCATTATAAATGTACCTGTCACTAAAGCAATATTTTGTTAATCTAGTAATAAGCATAGGATTTAGATTCGTTGTCACTCGGGGGGGCTTTCGCGCTCTGTGATACTTTGAGCATAGTGCCGTAAACTAATTCCGCTACAGAAGTATCTAGATCCTCTTTAAAACAAGTTCTCAGTCCGAGTAATACTACTGGCAGTGTATCAGTCCAATGAGTTTCACCGTGGCACATTAATGCAATTTTTAAAGAGCGATGCTATCGTTCGATGATGCCATTAGATTCTGGATGGTATGGAGTTGTCCGACAACGTTTAGAACCGATGAGTTTGGTTAATGTGTCGAACAGCTGCGCTTCGAATTGCGAGCCTTGATCGGTCGTGATCAGACGTGGAGCGAATCTGACTACTCAGTGAGTGAAAAACATCTTCGCCACCATGTTTGCTGTACAATTCTGTAATGAAATAGCCTCCGGCCAACGAGTAAATCGGTCAATTATTGTTAATAAATACCTAAAACCTTTGGATGAAGGTAGAGGACCGACGATATCAATATGTACGTGCTCGAAACGAGTATCTAGTACTGATATTTTAGTAGGTGAAGTATGGTTATGCCGATGAATTTTAGATTGCATGCTAAACAAGTGCGGGCCCACTCTTTAATGTCTTTAGCCATGGAAGGCCACACAAATTTTTGCGCAATTTGCCGGTGAGTTGCTCTGCCGCTTAGATGAGACATGCACCATGTCAAAAATTCGTTTTCGTAATGATTCAGGAATGTAAGGTCTGATCTCTTTCTCTGAAGTGTCACAGTAAATGTTAGATTCTGTTTCCGATAAGGTAAACTTTTTAAGCTTCAAAGATGTTGATGTAGATTGCTTCAATTGTTGCAATTCGTCATCCGAGGCTTCTGCAATCTCTTGCATGTCGAGACTAGTTGGCACCACTATAGTGTCGACGCGAGATAATGCATCTGCTACAATGTTTTCGGCGCCTGAAACGTGACGTACATTGGTTGTGAACTCCGAAATGAAAAGTATTAAATGTACCACTTTGCTTCCGCCGTTTTTTTTCCGAAATTTGAGGCTTTATTGTAAAAAATTGGTTATACATTTATGATTCAAAGTATTGTCTATCGCTGGCCACTACTTTCTCCCATCTTTCGGACTACGTACGAATCCCGCGACGAAAAAACTGATCATCTTTTGAGGCGATCCACGAATCGATCCAATTTTTTACTTCTTCATACCGGAAGTGCTGGTCAGCCAGGCCGTATGCCATTGATCGAAACAAGTGATAGTCAGAGGGAGCAACGTCTGGAGAATACAGTGGGTGGGGTAGGACTTCTTATTTCAACGTTTCCAAGTATGTCTTGACCACTTTCGCAATATGGGGTCGAGCATTGTCATGCTGCAAAATCACTTTATTGTGTCGTTGTATTGCGGCCGTTTGTCTTTCAATGCTCGACTCAAACGCATCAATTGCGTTCGATACTGATCGCCTGTGATTGTTTCAGTCGGTTTTAACAGCTCATAATATACTACGCCGAACTGGTCCCACCAAATACAGAGCATGACTTTGGAACCGTGAATATTTGGTTTGATCGTCGACGTAGAAGCATGGCCGGGAACTCCCCATAATTTTCTGCTCTTGAGGTTATCGTAATGAACCATCTTTCGTCCTCAGTCACAATTCTGTGATGCAGAAATCCCTTTCGTCTTTGCCTTTCAAGCAGCTGTTCACAAGCAAACAAACGCCGTTCAACATCTCTCGGTTTCAACTCGTACGGCACCCAATTTCCTTTCTTCTGAATCATTCCCATGACTTTGAGGCATTTTGAAATGACTTGTTGAGTCACTCCCAATGATCGTGCCAATTCTTCTTGATATTGACACGAGTCTTGATCAAGTAATGTCTCCAATTCTGCATCTTCAAAATCTTCTCTCTTCCACCGCTATGCCGGTCTTCGACATCAAAATCACCATTCTTGAAGGGTTGAAACAACTCACGACACGTTCTTTCACTAATAGCGGTTTCACCATAAGTATTTGAGGGCATTCGATGAGCCTCAGCCGCAGATTTCTTCATATTGAAGCAGAAAATTAAAACTTCCCGCAAATGACGAGAATTTGACTCGTAAAACATTGACAAAAAACATTTTCAATTGAGAATAATTTTACGATGTAGACACAAATCGACTAATGTTTTTATGGGGTTATGTTGACAGATCCAAGTTTATTGTATGAAGTTTATTCTATTATATTTGGAGTGTGAATAAGTTCTCGCCGTTTCACCATCAGATGCAGTATAAAAAGTTTGTGTGTATAATTAAAGATGATGACGCCTCTATATTGAAGTTCTATAACCTATGTTTAAAATCAGTGCGTGTCTTACCTTTAATCTATAAAGAACATTTTCTTTTCGTACCATAAAACATGTCAAATTTCGTGCCAAATAAACCGTTTTTGCGGGGAATTTTACTGCACTATTTTATTCAGAAGAAATCTGCAGCTGAAGCGCACAGAATTCTTGTAGAAACCTATGGTGATCATGCTTTGTCGGAAAGAACATGCAGAGATTGGTTTAACCGATTTAAAAATGGTGATTTTAATCTTCAAGATAGAGAACGCAGTGGTGCATCAAAAAAGTTTCGAGACAAAGAACTGGAAACATTACTTGATGAAGATCCATGTCAGACGCAATCCGACATTGCAAAATTATTAGGAGTTGATCGAACAACAGTTTCAAAACGTCTGTCAGCATTAGGAATGATACAAAAGGAAGGATCTTGGGTGCCGTACGAACTGAAACCGAGAGACATCGAACGGCGTATTGTCACGTGTGAACAGCTGCTTCAACGACAAAAAAGGAAAAATTTTTTACATCGTATTGTCATTGGTGATGAAAAGTGGATATACTACAGTAATCCGAAGCATAAAAAATCGTGGGTTAAGCCCGGCGAAGCAGTAGCATCAACGCCAAAGCGGAATATACACGGTTCCAAGCTCATGCTCTGCATTTGGTGGGATCAGCTGGGGGTAGTGTACTACGAGCTGCTCCAACCCAACTAAACCATCACAGGAGATCTTTATCGACGACAATTGATGCGTTTGAGCCAAGCATTAAAAGAAAAACGGCCGCAATATGAGCAAAGACACGATAAGGTTATTTTGCTGCATGATAACGCTCGGCCGCATGTCGCGGCACCGGTCAAAACATACCTGGAAACGCTGAAGTGGGAGGTCCTACCCCACCCGCCGTATTCACCAGACATTGCGCCTTCTGATTACCATCTATTTCGATCGATGACGCACGGCCTGTCTGAGCAGCAGTTCTCATCATACGAAAATAAGAATTGGATCGATTCGTGGATAGCCGCAAAAGAAGTGTCGTTTTTTCGACGTGGAATTCAAATGCTGCCAGAAAGATGGGACAAAGTTGTCTCCAGCGATGGGCAATACTTTAATTGACTTGTTCTTTTATTATTTTTTTTTTATAAAAGATTTATTTTCACAAAAAAACGGCGAGAACTTATTCACACTCCCAATATGATCTATTTATTTCGACTTACCGCTAAAGCCATCTATAGGAAAACGGCGGAAGCAAAGTTATATATCTAATAGTTGACCTAATAGTTTGTCTTGGCGACATTCTGGCGGCGATCTGATTTCCTCTTGAATGCGTACACGAGGGGTTTATGATTCGTAATAACGTGAAAGTTTCGTCCCTTTAGCATATATCGAAAATGTTTGATAGCTGGATAGGTAGCTAATAATTCTCTATCATATGCGCTATACTTTGTTTGCGTAGGAATGAACTTCCTTGAAAAGAAACTGGGATTGTAAAAATCCATTGTTGTGCTGTTGCAATATCGCACCGATTGCTTTGTCTGAGGCGTCTGTTTGCAACGAGAGTGTTGCTGTCTGAAAATGCGAGGCTTGAGCGAGATGTTCCTTAACTCGTTGAAAGGATTGTTTGAGCTCAGGAATCCATTCTATTTTCGCATTGTTGTTGCGTTTACGTCCCGAGATTGTATTTAGCAATGGCGCGAGATCTTTGCGAGATCTTTGAGAAACCGGTTATAGAAATTGAGTATTCCTAAGAAACGTCGAAGTCCTTTGACTGTAGCTGGTTCCTGAAATTCAATGATAGCTTGGACTTTTTCGGATAAAGGTTTGATGCCTTCAGCACTGATTATATGTCCCAGGAAGCTAACGCTCTTCTGCGCATTTATTCGGATTGATTGCTATGATGTTGAAGTCTGTCGAACAGTATTTTTAGATGCTCCTTATGCTGCGTTTCATCCTGCGAAACGATTAAAATATCATCGATATAAGTAAAACAGAAGTCAAGTCCTACAGTTACTCGATCCATAAATCTTTGAAAAGTTTGTGCTGCGTTACGAAGTCCGAATGTCATATAAGGAAATTCGGAAAGTCCGAATGGTTTAATGATTGCGATTTTCAGAATATCCGATTCACGGACTGCAATCTGTTAGTATGCACGCACTAGATCTATCGTAGAGAACACGGTTTTGTGCAGGAAATATATGCTGTCTTGCAAGAATGGAATTGAGTAACGATCTGGCAAGGTTACCTCATTGAGTTTGCGGTAATCTCCACGGACATCAATCACTATTCTTCTTCTGCACGAAATGTAGAGGACTGAGCCCAAGAGTTCTTGAAAGGTCTGCATAAGCCTTGTTGCATCGTGTATTCAAACTCTTATTTAGCTGTTTTGAGTTTTTCTGGACAGAGTCGTCTAACTTTGTTTCACACAGAAGGACCCGTTGTTTCGATTACATGTTCCACTCCGTGTGCGGTTTGTTTGTGTGTGATCGACGTTCTAGTTATTTCAGGAAACTTAGAATCTCTTT